GTGTTATATATATATATATATATATATATATATATATATATATTTAGAATCTTGTCCTCAATACGTGGCTAATAAATAAACCGTTTTTATTGTTTATTTAGAATCTATCTTAATATTTTGAAATCTGAAAGAACAGTCACTGCTCGTCTCATAAGTCTTCTTGCATAGGTGCAATCGCGGATTTGTTAATTGGCCCCCACCTTGAACATCTGGTTTATCATATAAGTTGATTGATCGACTCGTCGTATCTATTCACTAAAAATAAACTCTATTATCTAACATTACGATATGTTTCACGCTATACGGGTATTTTCGCAATAGAAATTCGATTCGCTCACGCGAACGGATGATTGTCTTAATTACCAAATACGAATTAATTAATTCGTCGTTTTTACTTATCTACTACAGTACAATACGATTGGATTTATTTTAATCATTAATCAATTATAAGTTGAGAGTAAATGAGCAACTTGGCTATTCAATTAAATGGGAGACAGAGGCCCGTATTCAGAACGCGCTTACAACGATGTTAGCATGCTAACATACTATACTTTACGTCACGCATATTATACAATTTCAGAGATAAAAGTGCGTTCTGAATACGGGCCAGAATGTATTATATATTAATAGTTGAAAAGCGCGTGTCTTGAATTATATAAAAAAAACATTGAAACGTTTACATTGAAACGTACACATATTTCTTGATATCTCGAGAAAAATAAAAATGTATAATGAGACTCGCAAAATTGACAAAGTATCAGTACAGAAAGAAAAAACATTCCTAAACATTGAGTAGATTAAATATAATAACATAGGTAATTTGGCGATATATATGTACATGTTGATCTAATTATATCTAGCTGCTGTATTTTCTTACACGTCTGATAAAAACCTTTCGAATATTGATTATCGATGATAGTGCAATACGATGAACCGTCGGCGTCGTTTTCTCCTCTTCGCCATCGTGATCGGTTTTCCGATACTGAGCATTTGCTTTTGTCTCCATTTCTCGCCGAGTAACGCACATGCCAAGAGATTTTCTCGATGAAGCGCAACCAGTCGTAACAAGCGATTCCGCGCAATTCCCGTCTGCGCGGCGATGTCATCGAAGCTGCTGTCAAGTCGATCCAAGTGACCGCTAATGTTAGCGATCATGTCGAGGAGCAGGCCATCTCGCTTGCGCGTCTCCAGTGTGAGTTTCTTGCTCAGCAGGAAAGTCGTTAGGCCGACGATCGTCAGCACTGTTAAGCCCAACAAGCTTCTCTGCATCGATGGCAATGTCATTTCCAAGGAATAATAAATATACCTAAATACATATAGTATATCCCCCTCTCATTGCATCGTCATTCGGTTTCTTTTACAGTTTTGATTCCAAAGTGGATCTAATAATAATGATCCTTCTCGTTAATGGAGAAGAGAAAATCATCGTACACATGATACTTATCGCTATATTTTATCTGACACTCGGCATTGTGCGACGCGCGAACCGCGAACATAAGTATGCAGTTAAAGAAAAAGCTGCGCGTAATTTAATTCGGAGAGCAATTAATAACATTTCCAATGAAAGTCGTTGGAAACTATGGATGTTTCAAGACA